TTATCATTTTCTTCAGTTCTTATAGAAACTCGAAATCAGAATATGTAAATTATAGTTATAAAATGCAAATTAAGCATTACATTATACCTATTAAATCTGTCGAAATCTTGTGCTAACAATCCAATCAACTAAGACCCTTATGTGTTTAAATTAGATTCTCAGCACAAGATTTTTAAAGGTTTACTACGTAAAACTTAATGGTGAATCTGCATTTTATGAATCTTATTTTCATATTCTGATGGTTCATGTGTTCAATGCAATTGTTCGTCAAAAATTCATCAAACTTCTACCATTTTCCATAGGTAAGTGAATTATTATCTATATCTTCCTTCTTCAGAGATTTTGTTCCTAAGCATATTTCAAGTTATTTATCACTAAATTAATTTTACACTATTTTACATTTAGATTTAACAAAATTTCTTCTCTGTAGTGCTATTTAGTTACAATGCTTCTTCCTTATAATATCTTTGTACTCGTTAAGTAACTTATAAATTTTTTATTAATCTTTTAACCGCTCATTTTCTTTTAAAATGGTTATATTAACTATGTTTAATTATCTTCTTTACAGATTTCCACAAAAGTATAAGGATTTCGTTATATGCCACCAAACTCTTTACAATAATACAAACACAACTCTATAAATTAATGAACAGGCTAGCACACTCACATTCCACTTATATTTTGTAAAAAATTAGTACATTTAAACACAAGCTCATTTATTGTTCTCTTGTCCATCAGATGACATTGATGTTATAATAAAACTTCAAATGAGATAAACCAATCCATTCATTTCCAATAGGTAAAATAGGCAAACAGATCTACTTTTTATAATATCAACTAATAAATTTATTTTCTTACAACATTTCTATCAATGTAGTTACTATTCCAAGTGTAATTTACTCAGTATTTTCTTTTCCTGTTATGCAGAAAAGCAGTACGACAAATAAACACTGCATATGAACTGTAAAACTACGATGAGCAATATATAAAAGGTGCATATACTTAAAATCACCTCGTTCATTTACAAATTTCATTACTCACTAACATACTACTATGAAATAATTCAATCCTACTAGAT